CCCTACTTGCTGTCCACAAAGGGGTGAGACCACGGATTCCAAGTCCGCGAATGGGGAGGAATGAGTGTATATATTCCAAAAAGCAAATCTTGAGTTTGCCGTTTTATATACAGTTGGCCCTCCGTTTTCCTGGGGGATCCGTTCTGGACCCCTTGCGAAAATGGAGATTAGCGAGTATTCAACCCTCCATGAATATGTAAAACCGCGGACTTGAAGTCCGTAAGAACAGAGGAGCGACTGTAAGGGACACCATTTTATTATGCCACTATATGTAATGGGACTTGAGCATCCATGGATTTTGGTATCCAAAAGACCAAAAGTTTGGTTTTAGGAGGTCCCGGAACCAAACTCCAGCGAATACGAAGGGTCCGCTGAATATGCAGGGGAAGAATGTGAATCTGTACAAGATTGTTTTGGAGGAACCAAGAAATCTTGAGTCTTGGAAGGCCAAAACGAAGATCTTAGGGCCTACATGTGGCTCGTGAGCTGCGTTCTCCCACCTGTGGTCCAGGCGATTCGACAATACTGGAGAGACATCTTGCAACCTAATTTTTGTGGAGGAAAGCACAAAGGCAGGTGAAGAGAAAAAAGGAGGTAGCGTAAGCCTGGAAGGAAGAAGGCGTCTTTTGATGTGGGTGTTCCCTGCTCAGTTTTCCATTAGAGAAAAGAGAAGAAGGAAATGGTCCCAGCAACAGAAAGGCAGAGCGAGGAACAGTCTACGGATGTGGCAGCACCCAGCTCTGCAAAGGGGGGCATGGCGGCTGTGACCTTAGGAAGTCTGGAAAAGAATGACCGAAGGAGGAAAATTTTAAGTGAATGCCAGGAATGGGGATGTGGAGGAGAAGAGACAAAAGAGGGCCTTGTCCTCCCCCTCCAACAAGATGAAGGCCCAAAGATTTCACTCGAGGAAAGGCTTTGGGCTGGGATGAAACAAGAGGAGGGCAGGGACCGTTAACCGTATGCCCGAGCCCTGCGTGGGCGATGGGTTGTTTGTGTCTCTTTCTCTTCCAAGGGATATTTTTGGGACCTCCTGGATGAGACAAGGCCACTTTTTTTAGGGATTGCTCCATCCGAGCAAAAGATAGGACCTGGGGATGGGGGTGGGAAGAGAGTGGAAAAAAGCGGGGGCACGGGGTCCTTTTTTTATACATTTTCTTTGCGAAATGGCAAGAGCAGAGGAGGAGGGGAAAATAGGAAGGCGAGAAATAACTAGTGACTCTGGAGGCTGTCGAAATGAGCGAGTCTCCTTGACATTGCCACCTGGGCCTTTCTGAACTCCGCTAAGGCGGCACCAAGGAATTGTTGCCCCTCCAGATATTGTAGACTGCACTCCCCATATTGCTTACAATTGGCATCACTGGCTGGGACTTTGGGTAAAAAAGTAACAACTCCCCAAAGTCCCAGCCAGTGATTCTGATAGTAAGCAGTAGGGGATCTGCAGTCCACAACATCTGGAGGGGCAACACTTCCTTGGTGTTTGGTGGCCTTGGTGTACAGAGTCTGAAAAATGTATTTTTACGGTTGCATTTTAAGGTCTAACCATTCAGATTCTCTCTAAATTTCTATCACCTATGCTCATTAAGTGGTTAATTTATTCCCCAAAGCAAGGTCAAAGAAATTAAGGATGAAATTAGGACTGCAGTTCTAAACACACGTATCATGGAGTAAACCCTGGTTACTTCTGGTACAACATGAATAGGATTATTAAGGAGAGTCAAGGACACTCCTGTTGATTTGGGGGGAATATTTTGTCCATGATGGAAAAGCATTAATGGAAAAGAAAAAAGCTCAAGGTTACCTTTTAGGTTGCTGCCACACTGCAGCAATAAAGCAGTTTGACACCACTTTAACTTCCATGGCTTAATGCTATTGGATACTGGGCTTTATAGTTTTGTAGGACACCAGAGTTCACTGACAAAGAAGTCTAAATATCTCACAAAATTACAAATTCCAGAATTCCATAGCATTGAGCCGTGGCTGTCAAAGTGCTTTTATTTCTGCAGAATGGTAGTGGCCTCAGTTCTTTCAGCATATCAAAAAGGAAACTGACATCTTAGTAATATTATTAAAAACATAGGTGCCATCATATGTGTGTTTTCTTGTAAGTTTTCTGAAAAGATGTATGTAGACTTGCAGCTTTAATCCATTGATCATTTGGTTAAAAGGCAGATGGTTAATTCACCAAGAAATCTTGGATTGGTTGAGTTATAAATAAAACTTGCAAGGAGAAGGAAAACAGCTGTCTTGTATCATCCATAGTATGAGAAGCCAAAGTCAGGATTTGCCAAGGACAGCATTACTAATGTTTATTAGCCATGAAAATATAAGGGAACCCTACTGGATTAGACAGGGAGTTCATCTAGAGCTTGGAAAAGTTATTTTTGCACTACAAGGCCCAGAATCCCCCATGCTGGCTGGCCTTGGCAGGTTTCTGAGAACAGTAGTCCCAAAAATAATTTTTCATGCTCTGTTCTTATGGCCAAACTGATGTTTCTAGGAAATTATGAGAGAAGAACATGACAAATTTTTTTTTCCTGCGGTTTGCCCTGTAGCCTGGAAACTTAAATTCAGTGGCTCTGTGCTTCTAAAGCTTGAGGACCTATTTGGCAAAAATGACTAATATCCATATACTGATCTCTTCACCTTTTCTGTGACTTTCTATCATCCCCATTTAATGCCATTCTAGACAGTAGCCAACCACTCTTTGTAGTTGCAGATTCCTACCTTATTTTTGCAGAAAAGTTTTTGCCTCCCTTCTGCTCTGAAGATATTGCTGGCGACTCTGAATTTTAGAGTTACAAGAGAGGAGCTAAGTATCTTTTCTCTGTTCTTAAATGGAATTTCCACTTGCAGAAGAAGTATAGTTTGGATAGTAAATTTCAAAGACAATCAATAGGAAAGGAGCCTCATCTCTTTGTAACAGAAAGATAAAGTTACCGTAGATAATATTCCTTAGGGCAAGAGACCTGTCAGATTCTGTTTGCAAGATTCCCAGGGATATCCGATCGACTTCTGGCAGGATGAGATTGTTGGGTTGGAAGCTCCTATGAAATTATCCAGCCTGCAATTTATGTGTGTTTGTGACACACAAGAAAAGGAGCATGCATTGTGTTTGTCTGCAAAATCTGTTGACTGCAAGGAGTTAATGCTGCTTGCTCCCCTCTCCACCACACCTTTAATCCATTGGTGCTTGTTTCCTGGGTTTCTGCCTTCTGAGCAATATCCCCATTAAATCACCTGATGTTACGCAAGGCAAGATCTTTCATGTGTGTCTTTCCTGAACTGCCTTTCTTTGCAGGCCTAGTCTGTTCCTTTCCCATCTCCAAAGCTTCCTTGGCTCTATAAAGTCTAACCCCAACACAACAGCCCACCCCACATCTTATCCTAGGCAAGTCGGATGTTGGAGAAATCTTGCTCAATTCCTCCCTTCTCCCCCCATTCCTTTGACCAGGGTCACCAGGCCCGGAAACCATTGCAGACGGAGTGAATCACAAGAAAGATCAAGAGAAGAGGGGGCAGGGAGAAAACTGAGACAGCCACCAGGCTTGGGTGCCTGGCAGGGGATGACGTAGGAGTGGGGAGATAATAGTGGGTGTGAAGGCAAAGGGAAATATCAGGATAAATGGAAGAGTGGGTAGATCAATAGAAAATTTAAGATTAAGCACTCAAACTTGGTGCCCTCCCTTAAGAAGTGCTGGACTATAGCTTCCATCATCCTCAGCCAGTGGAGCTTTTTGGGCTGGTGGCGATGGAGGTTGTCATCCAATGCGCCTGGATGGTGTCAAGATTGGGAAGGTTGGATCAGTGCATGGAAGGAAAAGTGTTTTGTATGTGGAAATGCATGCATGCATGCATGAGTAGTATTAGGTGTTTGTTGTTGTATGCCTTCAAGTCATTTCTGACTTAAGGCAAACGTATTGTGGGGTTTTCTTGCCAAGATTTGTTCCGAGGAAGTTTGCCATTGCCTTCCCCTGAGGCTGAGAGACTGTGACTTGCCCAAGGTCACCCAGTGGGTTTCATGGCTGAGCTGGGAATTGAACCCTTCTCTCCAGAGTCGTAGTTCAGCACTCGAACCACTATGCCACCCTGGCTCTCATAGTATTAGGGGGAGATGGCCATAGAAATTAAAGACAGGTACGGAAAGAGAGATGAAAGTGGCATAGTTCTTATCTGAACTCTAGAGATAATGCAGTTTGTCACTGCTTTAATTGCCACAGCTCCATCCTGTAGAATTCTAGGATTTGTAGCTTTATGAGATATTTTGCCTTCTCTGCCTGGTGCCACAACAAACTACAAATCCCAGGATTCAATAGCAGTTAAAGTGGTGTCAAATTGTATTATTTCTGCAGTGCAGATGAGACCGTATTGTAGAAAGACTGGAAAGAATGTACAAGTAAACAAAACCTCTGATAGTGGTAGTAGCAAGATTCAACTCCAGCCAATCCTTCTCTAGCAGAGTGTGCTTGAATGCAACAGGCAAGGAAAAGAGCAAATGCCTCCAGACTCCCCCATTGAAGAGCAAAACAGAATGAAAGGAAGAGCAAATAACCTTGCCTTACCAGCAACCCCAGGCATGTTTGCAAAAAAGCACGGATCTCCCACCAAAGTGAAAATCATAAGAAAACTAGAAAGAAAAAGTCATGCCTGAATGCATTTTGAAAGAAGCCTTCAACTGTTCTTGAAGAAAATTGAGAATGTTGTTTTAGGCTTATCTGATCTTTATTTCATATGCACATATTGTTAGTTTTCTAAAACATGTGGGTTCAGAAACATGTTTTCTGAAACATGTGGCTCTTTGTTTGCGGTGTAAGAAGTTACACCTGTTTTTTTCTACTTCTAGTACTACACTTTCTGCTCAAGTAGTGGTGTAGTGGTGTGAGAGTTGGATTAGAACTCTGGGAGAGCAGGGTTTGAATCTCCTCTTGGCCATAAAACCCACTGGATGACCCTGGGCAAGTCACACTGTCTCAGCCTCAGAGGATGGCAATGGCAAAACCCCTCAGAATGAAACATGCCAAGAAAACCCTGGGATAGGGCTGCCATAAGGTGGAAACGACTTAAAGACACACAATAACAAAATACTTTTCCCCCTGCCATGCTAGTTTTCTGTATGTAGCATTGTTGGTTGGTTTGCTTAATGCACAACAGTTCAGATCGTAGGGTTGAAGGAACCAAACAGTTACTGAGGCTGCATCTATACCGCTTTGATACCGCTTTAACTGCTAGGGCTTAATGCTATGGAATTCTTCAGTCTGAAGAGATACAGCCCAGATACAATTTGACCACCGCAATGGGAACAAAGTCTATGAGAAGGCTTGGGAAAAGGAAAGAAAAAGAAAAAAACAAGCCCCCAAACTTGAATAAACTGGTGTCATTTTGTCAGAGGCGCATACCATGATTTTGTTACTCTTAGGCTGCATTTGCACTGCAGAAATAATCCACTTTGACACCACTTGAGCTGCCATGGCTCAGTGTTGAGGAATCCTGGAATTTGTAGTTTGCTGTGGCCCCAGAGTTCCCTGACAGAGAATGTTAAATGTCTCCCAAAACTACAGTTCCCAGAATTCCATAGTGCTGAACCATGACAGTTAAAACCGCATAAAACTGGATCATTTCTTCAGTGCGGATGCAGCCTTGGTGATGCCTGTGTCAATATGCTAGTGATAATTGATCTGGTGGAGGCAACGACTGGGTCTGGTCTGGTCTCTGTTTTTTTCTCCATTCTTCCTGCTGTTTCTCACACTTTTGTTCTGACTTTCCCAACAGGCTTGGCTACAGCAATATGGCTACCTGCCCCCCGGAGACCTTCGCACGCACACCCAGCGCTCCCCTCAATCATTTTCAGCCGCCATCGCTGCCATGCAGCGGTTCTATGGGCTCCAGGTGACCGGCAAGGCCGACTCGGAGACCCTGAAGTAAGTAACTTCTAACAGTCTCTTCAGCCTGTCGACTTCTCCTTTTTCAAGTCTAGTGACTGTTTGTCATTGTTTTCACCAATGAGTAAAAACAAGAGCATAGACCATAAGTTGAGCACGAGTCAACAGTGTGATGCAGCAGCTGAAAAAAACCAACGTGATTCTAGGCTTCATCGATAGAAGTATCGGGTCTAGATTGAAGGAAGTGATAGTACCACTCTATTCTGTTTTTAGTATGTTGAAGAAAATACTGTGTTCAGGTCTGGGCACCACAATTCGAAAAGGATATTGAGAAGCTGGAGCGTGTCCAGAGGAGGGCAACCAAGATGGTGAAGGGTCTGGAAACCATAAAGCCCTATGAAGAGAGACTTATGGTTAGCCTGGAAAAGAGAAGGTTAAAAGGTGATATGATAGCCCTGTTTAAATATTTGAAGGGGTGTCATATTGAGGAGGGAACAAGCTTGTTTTCTGCTGCTCCAGAGAATAGGACCCAGAACAATGGATGCAAGCTCCAGGAAAAGAGATTCCAACTCAACATTAGGAAAAACGTCCTGACAGTAAGAACAGTTTGACAGTGGAACTTGGAGAGTGGTGGAGTCTTCTTCTCTGGAGGTCTTTAAACAGAGGCTGGATGGGCATCTGTCAGGGGGGTTTTGATTCTGTGTTCCTTCATGGCAGGGGGTTGGACTGGATAGCCTTTGAGGTCTCTTGCAACTCTAGGATTCTGTGAAAAGTGGTGCCTGCACCGGCCAGAATACATCTGGAGCAGCCTGGAATATTCTGGCTCCAGAGCTGCCCCAATATCCCCCCATTACCCATTGCAATGGTGGGCAGCTGTTTGCACGCTCATCCTGCTATGCCACCTGGCACTGCCACTGCTGGTCTGGGTTGCTTGCTCTGAGGTCAGAATAAGATATCCAGCCTCAATCACATGCCTGGGCACCTTGTTCTGAGCTCAGAGCAAGCGGCTTGTAGTGACGGTACCAGGTGGCACAGCAGGCATTGTAAACACCTGCCCTACTTTGCAACGGAGGGCTCCAGAGCTGCCCCAATATCCCCCCATTTTAAAAAACCATTTCAAGGGGAGTATATGGTATATTTGGTGCCAAACTGGATAGACTTCATCCGGACAGTTTGCACCAAAACCAGCGACTGGGTCCAGTGTCATCTGGGCTCATCATTGTGGGATGGGGAGGAGGATGTTTTATTTGACCCATGGAGACAGGGCCAAGGTGTCTTTTTAAATTATTATTTTTAAAAAATTATTGAACAAAGAAGCTTGAAAAATAACACACACACACAAATATATATATATATATTATATAATAACGCATTGTAAACCGCTTAGAGAGTGTTAGTTCATTGATAAGTGGTATAGAAATGTACTTGTTACTGCTGTTACCTGTAATGTTTTTTCAAAATATACAAAACAAAATATATAAATAGTAGACAAACAAGGCCAATGATAGTAATATAGATTTGTATAGTATATCTTCAATTCCTGTGATGTGCTCTTCTTCCAGTTATTGGAAGCCTTTGACTTCCTTCTATCCGAGTGTTGATTATGTCTTTATTTAAATTTCTCCTTCCCATATTCTGTTCTTATCAGGTAATACCCTACATTTATCATAGAATTTACTGTTTTTTATTGTTTGGTTCCCGAGTTTTATAACAAAATTTACTTAACTCAATGCGCATATAAACATGTAGATGTAATATTATATACCAGACTTTTTGAATAGTTATAATTATCTATCTATCTATCTATCTATCTATCTATCTATTTGTCTGTATTCATATGTTGAGTCTTACAATTTTTTTTGTGTGTGGGAGGAGGATAAGAGCAGAAGTTAAACATAAAAAGAAAATCTAAAACAGAACTTCAATTCAATCCAAAAAGATTCTCAATTAGGATATAATTAAGCCTATATGTAAATCTTAGCATAGATCAGAAACTAATTGCTGCTGTTTACAGATAGAGCCAAGGTTTGTTGAGAATTTTGTTTTCCTCCAAGAAAAGATCTTTCCATTTCTTTCAAAGTGAAGAAATTATCAGTACTGTTTATTATTATCCTTTTTGTTTATTGCAAACATTAAAAAAGGAAGGAAAGAAAGATACTGCACTGATGTGTTTGATATTGCTTAGGTTGCACGAAGAAGCACAATCACTATGTTGCTATTTATGTTTCAAATAGGCAAAGTGTGGAAACAGTTCCTTTATTTAGGAGGGATCAGAATCTCTCCCAGCCATCATAGCCAGTGGCTATGCTAGCTGGAGGATTCTGGGAGCTGTAGTCTAGAGAAGTAACTTTCAATGCTCTGCAGTTGGATTTTTCATCACTCCTTTGTAGGGGGAAAACAGCACAGAGGAATGCAAAGACAGATGCTTGTGGGTGTTTTTTGGTGTAAGCAACTGAAAATCTCTCCCAGCTGCATTCTGTGGGTGCATCTACACTGTAGAAATAATGCAGTTTGACACCACTTTAAGTGCTGTAGCACCATCCTATGGGATTTTTTAAATTTTACACAGGTTTTAGCTTTTTCTGCCAAGGAGTGTAGGTGCCTCACAAAACTACAAATCTCAAGATTCTGTAGGATGGAGCCATGGCAGTTAAAGTGGCGTCAAACTGCACTATTTCTACAGTGCATTGCATCCTGTAGCTGCAGTTTGGCCACAGGCTGAGCAATCATTTTGTTAACTGCGGAGCAGCGGGGAAAACTACCTGTCTTGGTTGTTCGGCAGCCTGCATTTGATAGAGAGGGGAATGGAGAGAAAGCTGTATTATGTGGCCTCTTATTTCACACTGGCCGACCCAGACAAACCTTCCCTGGATTGAAAAAAAGTTTTCTTGATGCAAAAAGAATCATACAAATGAAAAATCCCATCCTCAGGGCACCAGGAAATGGGAGAAGATTTTAGATGATTGAACACGTAGAGGCAACTTCTCTTGAATATGACAGAAAAATTCCTCAGGGAGTCTTGAGACGCTGGTGGCAGGAACAAGATGTTATAAAACCACTGAAAAGCCATGATGTAACTGAAAGAAAGGACGGGTCTGTGGTTGTGGCTGGGTGGTTGCCTGCCTGCCTTCAATTTCCAGTGTTGGCAAACAGACAGCATGGCTAAGCAACATCCTGTCCTGGGGTGGCCCTGGTACTGCATGAAGAGCAATCTG